ACAGAAAGAGAGAAATCACCCCCCAGGGGGGATGGTCACACCGCAATCCCTTCTCTTCCATTCTCCTCTCGGGATCTTGGGCACGCATGCACACGCGCCTGAAGTGAGTTTTAAGCCACCGGGTCTGGGACGCGAACCGCAGTCGACGTGGGAGTCCAGCAACATAGCCATTACGCTAACTGCTGGTTCCCCATAGGTGGCTTTTTTGAAAGTATTTTTATTTAAAGATATGTTGTTAGTTATGTAGGTTTTTTTTTTTTTTTTTGCCATAGGGCGGGCGCCACCACGCCCATAGGTTTTTTTTTTGAGAGAGATTTTTTTGTCACAGGGCACATGTGCTCGCCAGATAGACAGAGAGAGACAGAGAGACAAAAAGCGAGAAATCACCCCCCAGGGGGGATGGCCACGCCACAATCCCTTCTCCTCTACTCTCCTCTCAGGATCTTTGGCATGCACGCATGCACACGCACCCAGCCTGAGTTTAAGCCACCGGGTCCGGGACTTGAACTGCAGTCAACTATATGGGAGTCCAGCAACATAGCCATTATGCTAACTGCTGGTCCCATAGGTGTTTTTTTTTTTAAGTTCGTTTATTTGAATGAATGACAGAGACAGAGGGACAGCACCCCCAACAGGGTCCTGACACCACAGGCCATTGCCAGCTTCAGTGTGCCCCTGGTCATGGCCACATGCATGCCCAGAGTACTCAGGGAGGTCTCGACACGAGTCTGAAACCTTCCATGAAGCTCAGCCTCACAGAGCGTCATGTTTTACTGATGTACCACTGTCTGGCCTTTTTACGGGATTTTTTGTTTGTTTGAGTTTTTGCCATAGAGCATGTGTGCTCACCGGAGAGAAGGAAAGAGAAATCATCTCCCAGGGAGGAGGGTCATGCCACAAGCCCTTCTCCTCCTTTCTCCTCTTGGGATTTTGGCCACCCATACACATGTGCCCAGCATGATTTTCCAGCCACCAGGTCCAGAATTCAAACTGTAGTCAGCCATATGAGAGTCCAGCACCTTAACCACCATGCCACCTATTGGCCTCATAAGTATTTTTTAAAAAACATCTCAATAAGCTGTTTTTTTCTAATAGATCAAATATCCATTGATTCATTTTATGTCATAAATTTGTTTTTACCTGGATTGGTATTGCCCGGGGTAGTGGCAGGTAAAGACCTTCTGGACCAGGTGGCATGGAAGTTAAGGTGGCTGGATCCCACTTGGTTGTGCAGTTTTAGTCCCAGATCCTGCAGCTTGAAAGACATGCCAGGCACATGTGTGAAATTTGGTATTCAAAATACCAAGAGGAAAGTGGAGGAAAAGAGATTGCAGCGTGGTCCTCCCCCAAAGGGATGCTTTTTTTTCTCTCTCTGTCTCTTCCTCTCTGTATCTTTCCAATGAGTACATTCATCCTCTAGCAGATTTTAAATAAATAAATAACAACATCTGCCAATAGCTCATAAATTGGGGCTAAGATTCAGGTAGTCCTCAGCATGTTGGTGTTATAGATCTGTCCCCTCTAAGATAATGTACAGAGTCATGGATGCATATACTTAAAAATAATGATGTTGGGCTAGCAGGTGGCATAGTGGTTAAGGTACTGGACCGGACTCCCACATGGCCAACCATGGTTCAAGTGCTGGACCTGGCAGCTTGAAACTCACACTGGGCACGTATGCGTGCCTGCCCAAAATTCTGAGAGGAGAATGGAGGAGAAAGATTATGGCATAGCTATCCTCTCTGGGGAGTGACTTCTCACTTTCTCTTTCTCTGTCTCTCTCTGTGTCTCCAGTGAGCACACACGCCATATAGGAAAAAAGTTGGGGGGCATTAGGTGGCATGGTGGTTAAGGCACTGAACTCCCACCAGGCTGACACCGGTTTGAGTCCCAGACCTTATGGCTTGCTTTCTCACTTTCCCTCTCTTTTTGGTGAGCACACATGCCCCATAGCAAACTTAATAATAAATAAATAAGTTTAAAAAAAGTAATGATGCTAATCCTCATGACTTAAGGAAATAAAATATCAGGAGAAGGTGGGCAGTTTGGAGAGTCGTGCCTAAGAAGAGGCTGTTATGCTTTACTCATATATAAAAGAGATAAAAATTTTGAATGGCTCTCTTTCAAAGGTTGCGATTGCTAGGTAACATCTTGCTTGTCGTTTGTTTTAGAATGCTGACCCTAAGTCATCCCTCAAAGGTGTAAGCAATCAGCTTGGAGAAGGGCCCAGTGATGGACTGCCGCTTTCAAGTAGCCTTCAGTTCCTTGAAGATGAACTTGAGTCTTCTCCTCTTCCTGATCTCAGTGAGGACCAACCCTTCGACATTCTTCAGAAATCCTTGCAGGAGGCCAATATCACTGAACAGACGCTGGCCGAAGAGGCCTATCTGGATGCCAGTATAGGTTCAAGCCAGCAGTTTGCACAAGCTCAGCTTCATCCTTCCTCATCAGCATCCTTTACTCAGGCTTCTAATGTTTCTAATTACTCAGGTCAGACGCTGCAGCCTATCGGGGTGACTCACGTGCCTGTTGGAACATCGTTTGCAAGCAATACAGTGGGGGTGCAGCATGGCTTTATGCAGCACGTGGGGATCAGTGTCCCCAGCCAGCATTTGTCCGGTAACAGTCAGGTTAGCGGTTCTGGTCAGATACAGTTAATTGGGTCATTTGGTAATCAACCTTCCATGATGACAATTAATAACCTGGATGGTTCTCAAATCATATTAAAGGGCGGTGGGCAGCAGCCCCCACCAAACGTGAGTGGAGGGCTTCTGGTTCACAGACAGACTCCTAATGGCAACTCCTTGTTTGGAAATTCCGGTTCCAGTCCAGTAGCACAGCCTGTCACTGTTCCTTTTAACAGCACAAATTTTCAAACATCCTTACCTGTGCATAACATCATCATCCAAAGGGGTCTTGCACCCAATTCAAATAAAGTCCCGATTAATATCCAGCCAAAGCCTCTCCAGATGGGTCAGCAAAACACATACAATGTGAACAACTTGGGAATCCAGCAGCACCACGTGCAACAAGGGATCTCGTTCGCCTCCGCGAGCTCGCCCCAGGGCTCCGTCGTCGGTCCGCACATGTCGGTGAACATCGTAAACCAACAGAATGCAAGAAAGCCAGTGACCTCCCAGGCAGTCAGCAGTGCAGGAGGCAGTATCGTCATCCATTCCCCCATGGGCCAGCCTCACGCACCCCAGAGTCAGTTCCTCATACCTACAAGCCTTTCTGTCAGTTCCAACTCCGTACACCACGTCCAGACCATCAATGGGCAACTTCTGCAGACTCAGCCGTCTCAGCTCATTTCTGGCCAGGTGGCCTCGGAGCATGTCATGTTGAACAGGAACTCCTCCAACATGCTCAGGACCAACCAACCGTATTCTGGACAGATGCTCAACACCCAGAACACCGCTGTCCAGTTAGTGTCTGGGCAGACGTTTGCCGCCTCCGGAAGCCCAGTGATAGTCAATCATGCCTCTCCTCAGATTGTGGGCGGACAGATGCCCTTGCAGCAGGCGTCACCCACCGTGTTACACCTGTCACCCGGACAGAGCAGCGTTTCCCAAGGAAGGCCTGTCTTCACCCCCATGTCCTCGGTGACTAGCATGTCGGGACCCAGTCGGTTCCCTGCGGTCAGCTCCGCCAGCACTGCCCACCCCAGTCTGGGGTCTGCGGTTCAGTCTGGTGCATCGGGATCAAACTTTACCGGAGAGCAGCTGACCCAGCCAAACAGGACTCCAGGGCCGGGCGGTGTGTCTCATCGTCTTCCAGTTTCTTCTTCCAAACCTACCAGCACCTTCAGTAACACATCGGGAGCAGGAGTCCAGCAGCAGTTCTTCTGTCAGGTAAGACCACTTGTCAAAGGAGTGATACAGGAGGGAAAATCGCCGTGGGTATTGACTCAAATATAATCTTCATCTCAGGCTTCTAATTTATTGACCTAAAATTTCAACTTAAGATCGATAAGCTTTTTTCTTCTGTATTAAAAAGTTTTCTTTTTAAAGAATTATGTATTTAATTCCATTTGTTATTATTATTTTTAAAATTTGACCAGAGAGAGAAAAAGGGAAATTTTTTTTTGAGAGAAAGCAAGCTGCCAGGTCTGGGACTTGAACTGTGGTCAGCCATGTGGGAATTCAGTGCCTTTAACCACCACACCACCTGCCAGCCCCTAAAAAGATTTTCTTTTTAATCCAGTATAGCATTGTGATTTAGAGTGCAGGCTCTGGTGTTAGACTCCTGGGTTTGAATCTAAGCTTCAAACCATGACATAGAGCAGGCCAGCAGGCAGCATGGTGATTAGGGCATTGGATCTCACTTGGTCAACTGCACAGTTCAAGTCCCGGACCCAGCAGTTTGAAAAACACTCCAGGTATGTGTGCATACATGCCCAAAATCCCAAGAGGGGAATGGAGGAGGATGGCCATCCACTCTAGAGAGTAATTTCTCACTTTCTGTCTCTCTGTGTCTCTCTTCAGTGGGTGTATGTGCCCTATAGCAAAAGTTAAAAAAAAAGAAAAAACGGAAAAGAAAGAAAAAAGCCGTGATATGGAGTAAGTTGCCATACCTCTCTGGCTTAATTTTCTTCATCTGTGAAATGGGAACAGTAATACTACCATCCATGGAGGTATTTGGAAGACTATATGAGATAATCGGCCCTGTACAAAGCACCTTGCCTATCCTGGCAAACAGCAAGTACTCAGTGGCACCCGAAATGTATTCTGGGCATTTACGACAAAAGCTTATTTAGATTACTTAGGTTGTACAGCACACTGCGAGGTCATGTGACGGTGGGCTCAGCGTAGCTCAGCGTGGTGGGTAACTGCCCCCAGCAGAGGGAGAGGTCCAGGGCGCTGACATGTTGGTGAGGACAGCCTGCCCCCACCGTGGCACCGTGCAGGTCAGTGACTGCGAGCAGCTGGCAAAACCACAGAAGGACTGCGCTTCTGAAACGGGTCTCGCATGTCCTCAGCTCCAGTCCCTCCCTCTCATCCACTGATCTGCAGCTCCTGGAGTGTTTGATCCCCTCTCGTTCTGAGCCTCCTCAGGTTCCAGCCCCGCTTGCCCTTCCTGCCTGGGAGGACCCATTCTGTGTGGTCCTCCACGTCCACGGCCTTCCACATTCAGTCCTCCAGAACAGCTCTGCATTTATATTTCAATATCGGTAGTTTAAATAGCATACCGTTTATAAAACTATGTGACTTTGCGATTTCACTAAGAATCCCAAGGAAACCAAGGATTTCTGTTTTTCTTTTTTTTTGGCGGGGGG